GCATATGAGCTGAACATTTACATTAGGTAGATACACTCCTTGGAGAGATGAATCATGGGAGAATAGAAGGGTTGTGTATACACAGGGAGACAGCTCGGGGCAGGTGTGCATGGGAGGGGAGGACACAGGGAAGAGGTAGCTATGGGGAGGAGGTGACAGGGGAGCTGATGCATTGTGGGAAATTACAATCAATGTCATGAGACAAAGTGTATGTGAGCTGCTGTATGGAAAGTGAATTTTCCTCTATAAACTTTCACCCAAATCACAATTTAAAATAAATAAATAAATTGGGCAATTATAAGGATGTGAAGGTGGTTCAAAAGTCTGTTTCCATATTTATCGCAGAATGCTATTATAGTTGTGGTTTAGAAGCCTGGGACTTACCACTCTGATTTTGGTAGAAGAAGTTATTTTGTGAAATGTGTGATAACTAAAACAAATCTGTCTTTGAAAGGAAATTTTGGGCCTTTCTGCTAAGAAGATGGGATATTAGTTGTTACAATGCATTATTATTTGATTGAATGAGTTACCATTTAGCTTCTGTAATGATAGTATTGCTGTAAACAAAATTCTGAATAGTATGAAACATAGCTTTATGTTAGCTACAGTTTCAAAACTCTAGAAGGTGGGGATTTTATGAGTCTTGTCAAAAACGGGTATTAGGTGGCGCATACTTAATTGTATTGCAGCAATATATGTGAACAAAACTATTGTTAGCAGTGGATAGTGGGAAGGTAAAGTTATGGGAAAATTCTTAATTTCAGCACAGTGCACTTTATGTTTGAAAATGTCTATATTAATAAAGCTATTTTAATGATTACTCAATGGTCAATCATTGTATACGAAACTAACAGTAATAATAGTAACCACCATATTTTTGGCTGATCACCTAAATTTCTATTTTTGTAACTGACAATATCAAAGCTGTGACATAAATTCTTCTTGTTAATTCATTTATGTAAAACAGAGTCACTTAAACCAAATTTTGGGCCAGAAAAAAGATTCTTTTCCTGTCTATCAGAGTTTGTTGAAGTGAAATCTGGCACATATCTCTCTTATGATGCACCATTAACATTTTTCTATTAGTTGTCCACCTTCTAACTTCGTTGCCATCGAGTCAACTCTGACTCACAACAACCCCATATGTTACAGAGATGGTTGGGTTTTTCTTCCTTTGCTCCACTGGGTAGATTTAAATCACCAACCCTTAGGTTACTAGATGAGCATAAACCAACATCACTTAAAGGACCTTTTTCAAGTGTGGTGTTAATTTATTTAGGCTTTGGAACTCACTCATTAATAGGCACATATCAGACTCTGCCTGGTTCCCATCCTTTGCATGGCAACTTTCTCTAACACCCAGTCTTCAAACTCTAGAACCAGCCCTGGTATTCAGTACTCTAGCCCAACACACTGAGAATAGAGGGCCAAATACCTATGGTATTTTTTGTCTTCTAGCTGTATGAGTCAGTTTTGGCCTTGTTCTATGTGCCTGAATATCAACCTCAGTCGCTTCTCTAATACCTCATCACTAAAGTTTGAGTTCTTTGAGGGAATAACTACATTAACTATTCATTTTCTTCATCAGTGCATCCATGGGTACCCCTTAGGGGTATCCCTCCCAGGAATGGGAGTTGCCCTTAACCTTGCCTCTGTGACCCTAATACTTGGTGACATACTTCCATGCTAACAGTCACCTGGTTCTCCATTACGGTGCCTTAGCCACCTTTTGGGACATTCCGGATACCTCACTAGGGACAGCTCCTGCTGATGTGCTTGTTCTTAAGGGTATTGCTTTTACTTGTCAACAATATTCCATTCATTCAGTGAACATTTATTGGATTCCCACATCTGGATTCTCTGAAATAACATGAGGGTACAAATGGACCCTCAGTTCCAAATGTAACTTTTAAATACACATTTTGCTTTATTACTGCTGCCACCACCAACCTAGCTCTAGTCAAAGGATACTAGGCTCCCTCTACCCTAAGGGAAGAACAATAAATGCTGTCATAATGCCCCTTGCCAAGCTGCGACCAGACTGGAACATCCAAATACTCTAGCCTCAAGAGTATTATCAAAGACTTTCCTCAAGGTTGGTCATGACATAGGGGAAGTGAAGACAGAGTCCACATGATGGCTGTATTAGTTTCCTAGGGCTACCATAACAAAGTACCACAAACTGGATGGCTTATAAGAACAGAAATACACACACACACACACACACAAATATATATTATATGTAATATATATCTCCTTCTAGAGGCTAGAAGTCCAGAACCAAGGTGTCCACCATGTTGATTCCTTCTGAGAGCTCTGAGGGAAAATCTTACATAGCTTCTGGTGATGGCTGGCAATCTCTGGTGTTCTTAGCTTGTAGATGTATCAGGTCATTCTTCACTTCTGTCTTCATATGGATGTCTTCCCTCTGTCTGACTTTCTGCATCTCTTATTTTATAAGGATACTACTTAGATGGGATTAGGACCCATCGTACTTCTGTATGAACTCTTTTATTAACTAGATAGCATCTTCAAAGACCCTATATCCAAACAAGGTCACATTCACAGATTCAGGGGGAGGGTATTAGGACTTGAACATACCTTTTTTTTTTTTTTACCTCTTTTT